TCTCTCTCTCTCTCTCTCTCTCACACACACACACACACACACAGATTAAGATAAAAATGTCTATCCCTGCTATCAGCTAAAAGAAACTTCTAGGCTAACAGTCAACCTATGAGGAGTGAGTGATAACTATTGATGTTCTGGAGTTTTTCACACATTGAAACCTTATAAATAGAAGGGAAAGCCACAAGTGGCTTATTTTTCTATCCATGCTGAAGAGAACCCTCACTCTCCAAGTATAGCAGCCCATCTGGATGCTCAGGTTCCCTTTCCTAAGGAATGCAGGGGCTCTGCACACTCCTGTCCCCATCCCAGCAAGTTATTACCCTATTTAGTTTCCTTAGGAAGATGATACTGAGGGGGACACCTTGGGTGAGTTTATGTCATTACTGACCATCACAGACAGGAAACAAGGCAATTTCCTTCTCATTACAAAGCTAAAATGCACATTATGGAATTTGGATTTTTCAGGTAACCCTCCTCTTTATTGTCCTAAAGGGTGTTAGAAGTTTCAGCCACCATTACTTCAAAACCTTCATATTTTCTTTCTATATCCATCATAACTCATATAAGGGATGCAGTTCTAGCTTTCCAGTGTCAACTTTACTACTCAGAATCGGGGGAAGGGCTGTGGGTTGCTGTTCGTTAGAAAAAAGAAGCCCTCATGACTAGGGCACATCAGTGGACAGATGCTAATGACTGAGGAAAGTGCTAATAGAAAGCCCTCTTCCAGGGTTCACACACAGTATCCCATCTACATGATCATTTCCATTTTTAATGTAAATACATAATAGTTCAAAAATACTGTCACGTAATATTGCAGTGCAGAAGCATACTCTTTTTTCTTTAAGCTCACAGATACATTAGACTACCTGTGTGTTAGGCACTGTACCAATGCTGGGGTAGAGAAGTGAAAAGCAAATACACTGTGAGACTGAGATTTTAATATACCAGTATTACTGATTTGCTGTTGTTGTTTTTAAAGGGATAAGAAAAGGTGACTGCAAGTAGACTTGAGGCGAAGCAGTACTAAACACATATACCTTGGCTAGAGTATTAAAGATGGAACCCCTGGACAAGGATACAACCTTGAAGGTGCTTGATTATGGTGCCAAACTACGTCTTCACAAAGCTTTCAGCAATTGGTAATTCCACGAGGGAAATATGACAGTCCTGGTCTTCTGGCTGAACACTATCCTTGCCGGTGCTGGGGAAATGAGGGAAAGGACAACACAACTAAGCAGCCTGGGTCCACATTTCCCCACGTGCACATTTGCTGTTGTCGTTCCTCCCACACAGTCTCTGTGCCAGGTCTCCGTTCACTGTGCTGTGGATGTTAACACTTTTCTAACTTATCAGTGACCCGCAGACATTGAGCTGGCAAGCCATTCACCTTGGCATATGTCTTGCAGGTACTGTTCTTGTTTCTATCTGTCCTTTAACTGTTGTTTGGTGTTGAATAGCTCAAGAGTTTCTGCACAGGACTCCATTGGCCTTCCTTTGACCTCTTAATGGGTTTTATGCTTAGAAAGGCTTTCCCATCCTGAGGAAAGTTAAATATATAACTGCATTTCCTTTAGTGAGAAAAAAAAAGTTCACATTTTTCAGATTTAATTCTTTAGCCTACACTGCATTTTTGTTTTATTCTAGGAGGTTTTTGTTTGTTTTCCATGCCTTTGGGGGTGGGGAGATGGGGACTGAGTTACCCACTAGAACCAGTGTTTCTCTCATAACAATATCTAAGTGCTGAATGAAAAGATTACTGCTAGGCCTGTAGACAGGCTTAACCTTGCTGGTACCATGGTGGAGGTGGGCATGTTAGGCACTACATACATCACACACAGCCATCATTAACCCTCACTGCAAACCCATAGGGAAACGCTATCCATTTCTCATTAGCTTGGAGAAGTAGAATGAAAAGCTGGCAGGAACAGGGCAGCACAGTGGGTGCCAAAGCCCACAGTCACTTCTCCACAAAGCTTCCACGGTACGGTGAACTCCAGTCCTCAAGTCCAACTGCACTGCCTCCTCATGCCATGGCACATTCGCCTTACTGAGGGGAACTAGCCACTTTCAATGAGCACAGAAGAGATGCAGCCAGGACTGACAGAGTGGGCAGTGAGGATCTGAGGAGCTCAGTGTCTGCCTGCATATGGGGTGAATGCTGTTGAGGAGCAGCCTCTCTCACTGTTGCTCAATGTTGTTTCATCCTCTGGCTGTTTTGGGGAAGAAGCTAAGTGGGGGTTTTATATGAAATCTCCAGTTATAAATGTGGGCAGTTAATTTAGTCTCTTTAAAAACACTGAAGGCCACTCATAGCTCAAGG